AGTGGCATATATTTTGAGTTGTTAGGGTTTTGTTTTTGTTTTGTTTTGTTTTGTTTGTTTGTTTGTATTAGTGATATATTAAAACAGGAAACACACTGCCTTGCCTTTTCCCAATGATGATGGCTGTTTATTTGCAGGAAGGTAGGTTAGAGGGATGCTGTTTGGAGCAATGGACTATTTTTGGTACAGTCAAAGCTTGGTTCTTAACACAGGTCCTTGCAACAAAGAAAGCCTTCAGAACACTTATGGATAACTCATGTGACCACAGAGCACCGTGCATCATCACCGTTCATGGTGTGGGGCTGACCGTGAGTTGGGAAGCCTGTTCGGTTGTGACCTTGTACCTGCATCCCAGGAAGGAGAACAGCCACAAAGCCTCTGCAACTCCTTGTGGTTGCTCAAGGGCTAGACAGATGCATGGACTAAGCACATGGCTGGGTCAGGCCTGCTCCTGGTAAACAGGGAGCAAAGGCAGTCTTAAACTTATGGCAGCCCATTCAAGATAGTCTTCACACAGGCTCATGGGCCTTTGGGAGATGCGTAGTCTGTTTTATGCTACTGTAGGATACTTGCGACTGGGGTAATTGCACGAGATCAGAAATGTATTGGCTTGTAGTTGCAGAGGCCGGGAATCCAATATCAAGGTGCCAGCTCCTGCTGAGGGACTTCTTGCTGCATGATTGCATGATGGAGGGTGAGAGGGTGAGAAAGAACCAGAATCAGAGGGTGCCCACCTAATCTTTTATCATGGCTCCCAAACTACCCAGGAAGCCTCCACCCTCATGATCTGATTGCCTCGTAAATGTCCCGCCTCTTAATACTGTTATAACGGCAATTAAACTTCGATATGAATTTTGGAAGGGACAAACATTCAGACCATAGCAAGAGACAAAAAGAGTGTCAAGCCTTATGCAGGAGCCTGGGAAATCCATGAAAGGAATCAATATCCAGTTACTCATTTGTCATCCTCTTCCATAGAATTGCTCCGTCTGAAAACTTGTTCTCTCGTCTCCTTCACAATGGTCCTCCTCCTCCTGTTTCTTTTTTTTTTTCCTTCTTTTTTGAGTTTTTTTGCTATAGGGTGTGTGCACTCACTAGAGAGAGAGAGATAAATAGACTGTGAGAAATCACCCCAAGGGGGAGTGACGGCATCACAATCCCTTTTCCTCCATTCTCTTCTCAGGATTTGAGGCACATGTGCACACATGCCCAGCGTGTTTCAAGACGCCAGTCCGAGACTCAGACTGCAATCAGCCACGAAGGAGTCCCGCACTTTAATCATGCCACTGTTCTCCTCCTGCTTCTTAAAAAGGAGCCCTCCCCTTCCCGTGTCCATCACAAATGTTACCACCTGGCTTTGTCCCAGAGTATAGAGATGGTCTATGGAGCCAAAGGAAGGGCAGTAAAAATACTGGTTTGAAGGACAAGACACTTTCTACTGATGAGTTCCACATCCCCTGTCCTGGAGGCATTTCCTGCTGTCTGCTTTCATCACAACTGAAGGGAGAGTCTCGGCTGGTTGATCATTGCAGCTCGTTCTCCACAAGTTGCTGTTGCTCTGGGTGTACGTCTTGGTCCCTTTGGGCTGCTATCACAAATACCTGGCTGAGGAATGTATAAAGGGCAGACATGTGTTGCGCAGGAGCCTGTGGGTTGAGGAGTCCAGCATTAAGGCCCTCGCAGATCTTATGTCCAGTGAGGACTTACTCTCGGCCGCATAGAGCCTTCATGTTGTGCCCTCACATGACAGAAAAAATGGAGCCCTTTTTATAAGGGCACTAATCCCACTCCTGATGATTGACTCTGATGTCATCACTTCCCAGGTGCCCCACCTCTTTTTTTTTTTAAAGGTTTTTGGCATAGAGCATGTGTGCTCACCTAGAGAGACAGAGAGAGGGAAAGTGAGAAATCACCCCCCAGTTATGACACGCCATGATCCCTTCTCCTCCATTCTCCTCTCAGGATTTGGGGAACTCACACACATGCACCTGGCATGATTTTCCAAGTGCCAGGTCCGGCCATGTGGAAATTGCACCATGCCGATAGCTCTCATCTCCATTGTACGTCACTGCAACCCCTCCCTGTGCCCTCCGTCACGATGTGTATGAGGGTTAGTTGCATCACCTATCTACTTTTGGATTATAATGCAAATAGCTCTTATTTTCACCATTTTCTTACTGCGTTTCCTATTTGTTTAGAATAGTTACTGTAATCTGAATAATTCAAATCGATTTGTGTTTTCCTTCCAAAATAATAATTTTTTTTGAGAGGTTTTTCACTATAGGGTGCATGCGCTCGCCAGACAGACAGAGAGAGACAGGGAGACAGAAAGCGAGAAATCACCCCCCAGAGGGGGTGGCCATGCCGCAATCCCTTCTCCTCCATTCTCCTCTAGGGATCTTGGGAATGCACGCACATGCGCCTGGTGTGGGTTTTAAGCCACCGGGTCCAGGACGCGAACCGCAGTCAACTACGTGGGAGTCCAGTGACATAGCCATTACGCTAACTGCTGGTTCCTGAAAATAATGAGAATTGCTTCTAGAATGTTACTTTAGAAAAAAGCTTTTTAAATTATGGATTGAGGGGTGGGAAAAGATCTGGGTTATTCAAAGTGATTCTGTTTCTGCTTGATTTTGAAACCGTATCATGGAATGTTGTTCTTCGACTTGCTTGGAATACTGGTCTCTCATAAACACAGCACTGAATTAATTTACTCAGATTTTATCCAAAATTTTAAAAATAGCTTGGAACATTCAACACTCTAGGTTTCTTCTCTCTACCCAGTTCTCACAGGGCAGATCTTTAGTGAAGCCAAAAATTTTTAAGGGAAACAATTAAAATCTTTGAGCTCTTTGATCAAAGTAAATTCTTTGAATCAAATTTAAAACTACTTTTTCTCTTTTTAAAATTGAGATCAATTCATAAATAAAATGTACTGTTTTAAAAGTTTGCAGTTCAGTGGTCTTTAGTATAGTCACAGTGGGTATAACATGACCACGACCTAACCTAGAACACTTCCATCATCCCCCAAAGAAACTGCACCTGCTAGCTCCTCCCTCCTCCAACCCCTGACAGCCACTAGTCTGTTTTCTGTGTCTCTAGATTTGCCTACTCTGCATATTCATATGCACAGGGTTATACAATATGTGGCTTATTTCACTTAGTATATTGTTTTCAAGATTCATTCATTTCCTAGAACTGATTAGGACTTCATTCCTTCTAATGAATAATATTCCATCATGTGCATATACCACATTTTCATGATCTGTTTATCAGCTAATGGACATTTGTGCCATTTTGACTTTCTGGCTGTTACACATGCGTGTCCATGTACAAGTTTATGTGGGAACTTACATTTTCAGCCATTTTGGATGTATATCTAGGAGTGGACTCACTGGGTCATAAAGTGACTCTACGTTTGGCTCTTCAAGGAACTGCCCAAACGTAGTTTTCTACAGTGGTGGCACCACTTTACATGAAAGTACTTCCACGTGTGTTTGCTCTCCGTGTGTAGATAAAAGCAGTGAAAGTACTTAACGAGAATAAGACAGTGTGGAATGGGGGGAGGGGTTGAAGAGAAGAGGATAGAGAAAGCTAGCAAGAGAACAAATTGAGAGGCCTGAAATTAGTGGGACGCAGATATGGCTTATTACCTGTTGATGACATGTATAGTATTCTCAACTGGATTGGTCTGAGAAGTATTTCATGATGGGTAAAGTCTTTTTACAAGCAAAATGAGAAACAGTGATTGGCTGGGTAAAAAAATAATTGGAATAATAATAATAATGATTGGGAAAAACAAAGAAAAGATATTGAATGATGAAGTGGGGATTTTAATGTCTCTGAATTGACTGACAGTTCCCTTTTGAAAAAGCAATATAATACACTGTAAAGTTATATTCAATTCAATGTAATATAAACAAGACTATGATGATAATAAATAAATTTTTAAAAAGCTAAATAAAGAAATAGTTATGTACTCTGAACTATTGAATAAAAACCCTGATGTATTAAAAAATTTATGGAAAATGCATATTATAAAAAAACTATGCATAATTTTTATTGCACCAAAATAAACTCATACTATAAAAAAAAGAATGGATATGATAAGTTTCCTTTCCTAGTTTCAAAAATTTTTTAAAAAGCATTTGAGAAAATCCTAATTTGGCTTTTAAAGGGAAGAGATTAAATATAAGAAAATTCTACCTAGCAGGGCCAGCAGGTGACACTGGACTCTCACATGGCCAACTATTGTTTGAGACCCAGATATGGCAGCTTGTTTTCTCACTTTTTCTCTCTCTAGTGAGTGCACATGCCCTGTAGCAAATTAAATAATAATAATAATAAATACAATTAAATAATTTTTAAAATTCCCCTTGGCAAAACAAAGCAATTATTTTAAGCAATTATTACTTTCAAGGGAAAAGCTTAAATAAAAGAAAATTCTACTTAGCAAAACAAAGAAATTATGTATATAGTATACGTATACATATTCCATTTCTCAAGATGACATTAAATGGAGTTGAAAATATTTTTATTTCTAAGAATATAAATTAATACCTATTCAGTTATCTGATCACCAAGGAAAGATTTTTATATCAAAAAAATAGAAATTCCCCTTTCAAAAGCATTTCCATTACTGGGACCAGCAAGTGGCGTAGTGGTTCAGGTGCTAGACTCCAACGTGACTGACTGTGGTTCAAATCCCAGACCTCGAGGTTTGAAACTCACATTAGGCACATGTGCATGCGTGACCAAAATCTCAAGAGGAGAATGGAGGAGAAGGGATTGGGGCATGGCTATTGTCCCTGAATGGTGATTTCTCATTTTCTCTTTTTCTGTCTCTCTGGCAAGTCCATGTACCCTATAGAAAAAAATCTCTCCAAAAAAATATTTCTATTACCAACTATAATAATGAAAGGAATCATTTCCAACACTAAGATGCATAATCTATTTTAAGAGATTATATTTATATATAATCCTTACAAACTTTAACCCAGGACACAGAACCTCACTCGCCAAGGAGAGTCTTCTGGAAGAGAATACAAAACTGGAAGAATTTTTTTAATACCGAGACTTGCCTGTGAATACATCTGTGTGCACAGCCTTCATGAGGTGCTCTTTCAGATGGACCAAGCCCTTGGCCACAGATCCCTGGTAAGTGTCTTCAGTGTGACAACCTGTTTTTATTGAATGACTTCTTCTATGTATTGGTTATAGGCATAAATGTTCTGGATGCTTCAAGTGTAAAAAGCCAAATAGTTCTGGACAGTTATGGATTATGCCTGCTAGTTTGTGACTTCTTTTACTACTGAGCCCCAGTATTTTCTGTGCTCCCCAAAATGTACCCATGATATCACCATAAGGGAAGCTACACAACCGAAGATCCTAGTTTCTTGCTCTCTTCCTCACTGGGTTTGAATAGCAAAATCCTTATATGTTTAAGAGCTTCAGGGCCCTCATAATTAGTAGAGTTAGAGCAAACCACTTCACACATGTAGTAGATAGGATAAGGGCCCCTCAAAGACGTCCATGCTCTAATATCTGGAACCAGTGAATATGCTATGTTACACACAAAAGGAATTAGAATTGCAGGTGGGATTGAGGATGCTAATCACCTGGCCGTAAGATCTGGAAGATGACCCTGGATTATCTGGCTATGCCCAGTGTATGCACAAGGGTCATTAGAAGTGAAAGACAGTATTGAGACCAGCAGTTGGTGTAATGGCTATGTCGCTGGACTCCCATGTAGTTGACTGCAGTTTGAGTCCCAGACCCCGTGGCTTAAACTCACGCCAGGTGCATGTGCATGCGTGCCCAAGATCCCAAGAGCGGAGGAGAAGGGATTGCGGCATGGCCATCCCCTGGGGATTTCTTGCTTTCTGTCTCTCTGTCTCTCTCTGTCTTTCTGACATGTGCATGCGCCCTATAGCAAAAACCTCTCCAAAAAAAAAAAGAAGTGAAAGACGGTGGTGGGGATAGAGTCAGAGAAGGAGATCTGACTATAGAAACAGAGGCAGAGTGATGGAATAAGAAAAAGACTCAGCTGGTCATTGCTGGCTTTGAAGATGGAAGGGACCACGAGCCAAGGCATGTGGGCAGCCTCTAGAATCTGGAAAAGGTAAGGAATTTGATTCCCTGGAGCCTCCACAGGAACACACCTTGATTTTCACTCGCGAGATTCATTTCAGATGTCTGACCTGCAGAACTGTAAGAGAGTAAATATGTATTGTTTAAGTGATGTGCTAAGGCAGAGTGAGGGGACATGAGAGATTGTTAGATGTGACTAAAACAGATATTGGGAGTTAAGATAGGGCTATGTTAAATAGTGAAAAAATATCGAAAGTTTTGAGAACGGCGAGCATACGCTGGTCAGTGAAAGAACAGAGGGTATATCGGAAATGCAGTCAAGTCTTAAGGTTGGCAGGTGGCGTGGTGTTGAGGGGTTGGACTCCCTTGTGGCCAACCATGGTTCAGGTCTCAGACCTGGCGACTTGCTCTCTCACTTTCTCTCTCTCTCTCTTTCTCTCATCAAATTAAATAATAATAATAACAAATTAAATAAATAAATAATATTTTTAAAGAAATGCAGTCAATGGGACCAGCAATTGGCATAATGGCTATGTCACTGGACTCCCATGTAGTCAAATGCAGTTCGAGTCCCAGACCTGGTGGCTTAAATTCACGCTGTCTGTGTGTGTGTGTGTGTGTGTGTGTGTGTGTGTGCATGCCCAAGATCCCGAGAGGAGAATGGAAGAGAAGGGATTGTGGCATGGCCATCCCTCATGGGGGGTGATTTCTCACTTTCTGTCTCTATGTCTCTCTCTGTCTTTCTGGTGAGCACACGCACCCTATAGCAAAAACCTCTCCAAGAAAAAAAATGCAGTAGTCAAACCTTACCTATTTGTAGTGGTTGTAGAGGAAGCTCCAAATGAATTTTATTGTGGATGGTTTTCTTAAAGAAAGTAGCAAGGTCAGTCTTATTGTTTAATATCTATAGCAGTGGAAAGAACAAGCCAAGTATGGGGAGTCTTCAAAAACATAGTGAAAAAGCATGTTATGAAGAAATCATGCATGAATTCAAAATTGCTTTACATCAAAATAAACTTGTTCTTCAATTTATTTTTCCATGAACTTTTTGAAATACTGTCATACAGAATGAAGAGACAGTAATAAGGAACCTGAGCTAGTCCCCTTGGGAAGCACTTGATCGGTCACATTTAATCATATTGCCCAACATTTCTGAGTCAGTTTGCTCTTCTGTGAAATGTGGGAAAAGCATTCCGTGTCCAGTTTCAATGAGATTATGTAGACAGTGGTCAAAGCTCTGTATACATAATCTATAATCTATAATCATAATCTGTATACAATATCCTATTTATAAACACAAGTGTCCAAAATGACAAAGACTCATTTAACAAGCAGTGGTTGTACAAACAAGTTCAACCTGATTTAAAATAATTTATTCCCAGCATTTAATATTTCCTTCCTTAGTTACTACATTGAAATGCCAGTTTGGCCTCTATTGGAATTATCATGAATAGAGGGGGCTTAGCGTAGGAGCCACTGTGTATGGGCTAGACCTACCCCCTAGTTTCCTATTTAGGTCTCGCCCGGATACATAGCTCTGTACATTTCTATAGTGTTTATCAGCATCTCAGCACAGAAGGAAAGAACAGAGGGTCGGGAAAGAGGACTCACTTAGGACACAAGGTTTCAGAGGGGAGCAGGCTCTACACAGAACCAAGGGAAAAGACCACAGAGAAATCAGCCCAGGAAAGTGCCGGTCCTCCTACGATCCACGCAGAGAGTGCAACCTGAAGTTCCGACTCCACCGCGGCTGCTTTAAAAATCAGATGAGGTGGTGGATATGGAAGCTCTTGGACAGCTAAGCGCTGCCAAATGTGTGCAAATGTTCAGTGGGCTTTTTTTTTAATTGCACCTTTCCTTTGTTGTTATTTGTTTGTAATAATGACATTACCCCAGATTTCTGCCTTGTTTGTAAGACACTGGACTACCTAACACTTGCCTAACCATTCCATATTCTTCTCCTTTCCCCCTCCCTCCTCACTGGTTCCACTTAGTGGCACTTGGGGTCCACTGGTCGCAGCAGTGTGTCTCAACCAAGTGGCCTCCTCCCCTCGCCCTTCCATTTTCACTCTGATGTGCCTCCCTTCACTCATCTGTCCATCCAGGTCTCTTCTTCCCAGCACAATGAGGACCACACTAAGGATTTCAGTACTGACTTTTGGGCTGATTGAGAACAAGAAGGTGGGGCCAACAGGTGGCATGGTGGTAGGGAGTGAGATCCCACCTGGCCAACGATGCAGTTCGAGTCCTGGACCTGGAGGCTTGGGGAACACGCCAGGTGCTGAGCACGGGTGCCTGAGGTCCCAAGAGAGAATGGAGAAGGGCTTAGAGCATGGCCATGCCTCTGGAGGGAGGGGTGCTTTTTTGAAAAACTTTTCCACTCAAGGTCTCTTTCTCTTCAGTGAGCACATGCACCCTATGGGGAAAAAATCTAAAAAAAACCCCCAAAATAATAAGCAAATGAAAACAGAAAACAAAACAAACAAGAATGGTAATCATGGCAGCCAGAGAGAGGGTAATGTTTATCTTGTCACCCATGACAAATCAGCAAGTGGCAATGTCCTGTTAGAAAGAAAAGAAACTTTCTGAGATTAATTCCTTTGATCTTTTTAGTTTGTTCCACATGAAAACAGTTTCAATTAATCTACATTTTTGTTTTTCCGTAGGTCACTTATGTTCATTTTCTTTTCTGTACAACATGTGTATGGGGTAAGTATATTTGCTTTATTGAATGCATGAAAGCTAAATAAGTCACTTCCTAGGATGCAATTTTTCTCCTTTGTAAAATGGAGGGTTGGACTGCATGATGGTTTCCCTTTGCATTTTATAGTCAAGACTGCTTACAGAATGGCTGAAGTACTGAAGACCATTAAAGTCCCTTTTTTCATTATTATCTTATTTAACTTTATGTATATATGTATGTACGTATTTATTTATTTTAATTTGACCAGAGGAACAGAATGAGAGAGAAAAAAGGAGAAAGTAAGCCATCTGGTCTGGGACTTGAGCCATGGTTGACCATGTGGGAGTCCAGCACCCTTAACTACCATGTCACCTGACAGCTCCTAAAATCCGTTCTTAAAAAAAAGCAATTTTTTTTTTCTTTAAAGTAGGGCAGGAGGCAGCTGGTTCATTTCAAGATTAAGGAATTATAATATTAAATTCGGACATTTTAGCGCTGAAGAAAGATAAGCCTAGAACATTCTGCTTTCTCACTAAAGAATCGAGGTTATTAAAATCCAACCTCGGATGTTTCTAGACAATCCCATTATGGGCTGCCTGGAGTGCAGGCTGGTCTTGAGACAACTGAACTGATTAAATCGTTCTCGTGAGCACATCTGTCTTTCCACACTCTCAATCTTGGGTAGCCCAATCTGATTTGGTGATTTATCATTGTCTTTTCAAATCAAATCAAAATAGAAAATTATCATCCGTTGTCCTTTCTCCCACCAATCTGAAGCTGAAAGCACCTGAGGATGAGAAGCCCTTGGCTCCTGGCTCTGCCAAGGCTTCATTCCTTAACCTACCCAAGATTCCATTTTCTCCTGTGTTTAATAGAGATGATAAGATCTGCTCAACTTAGCTCCTGTGTCTAAGAGCATCACCTAAAATAATGAATGGAAACACACTGTGAATCATACATATGCATTGTTTTCTACTTCTCTTATCTGATTTTTCCAAGTTTATTTTGGTTTTTGTATTGCATTCTTTTCCTTCTATTATAAAAGGCTGCAGAGTCCTAAATCTCACTTTTTTTTTTATATTCCATTTGAGTAATTATAATTCCTGAACCAAACACTGTCCTAACCTCAATCCTCCTACGGTGTGTAGAAATTCTATTTCACACAGGGAGTGACTCTGCTAGAGTTGGGTTTCAAAGGCAGAGATACAAACAGAGATGATGTCTATGGAAAACAATTTGGCATTATCCATCAGGATTTGAAACACATAAACCTATTGACACAAGAGCGTGTCTTTTGGGACTGAACACACATACTTATTCTGACTTGTACACAAAAATAAATGCACAGGAATATACTGGGTTGTCAGAAAAGTCATGACACATTTTTGCACAGAAAAACAGGAAAAAATATATCATGACTTTTCCAGAAACCTAATAAATTGTAGGGTAGTGTTTAGTTGTGAAAGAAGGGAGCTATCCAAAAGTCTACCAGTAAAGACTGGTTAAACAAGTTATGGTTCTTCATCTGATGATTAGCCATATGAATTCAGAATGATTTTGAATACACATAACTATGGGAAGACAGCAAAGTGCAGAGAATATACCATTTAGCTAGAAATAAAACAAGTCCCAAATCACCAAAAGTGTGTGTGTGTGTGTGTGTGTGTGTGTGGGTGTGTGTGTGTGTGATGTACATGTATGCTTTTGTGTTAAATCATTCTCGTGAGCACATCTGTCTTTCCATACTTTCTATCTTGGATACTCCAATACGATTTTGGTGATTCAAGTTACTGTCGTTTTTTCAAAGCAAATTAAAATAGAAAATTACCATGTGTGACTGTTGCGTGGATATGCTTATTAATGCCCAGACATCAATTTGAAGAGAAGGTTCTTCTGTGGGAGGGAGATTGGGGCCAGGATTGGGAGAGGATGTTTATTTCCTGTATGTCCCAACCTGGCCCTGGGCATATTAGTGCTGAAACTTCAAATTCTTATCACTCACCTATATTATTTTTCAAAACAGAAAATAGAGGTGCAAATGTAGGGCAGATGATTAACCTTCTTGAAATTAATAACGTCCCTTCTTAAACTTTCTATCCTACAAATATCATATAGTCGACTGCGGTTCGAGTCCCAGACCTGATGTCTTAAAACTCACACTGGGTGCATGTGTGTGCATGCCCCAAATTCCAAAAGAATGGAGGAGAAGGGATTGCAGCATGGCCATGCCCTCTGGGGGGTGAATTCTCCCTTTTTGTCTCTCTATCTCTCTCTGTCTCTGGTGAATACACACACCCTATAGCAAAAATCTCTCTCTCAAAAAATAAAAATGTCTGAGATAAAGAGCTACGATTTTTTTCCCTTTGAGGGAGAGAAACATTGTTTTTTGAGAATGTTAAGTTAATTCTCAGTAAATGTGATTCATCCTTCGAAAGTTTTGTTATCTAAGATATAGTTTTTATTCTTTTAATTGGTTTGTACAGCTTATTTTTGAAGCATCAACTTTTCCCTCGTGAATTCACCCTACCTTTTAAATGCCTGCTGGGACATGTCTAATGTAGAAGAACTTTCGGAGATTAAAGTGACCTCTTGCTTTTTCCTTTATTGGGCCATGTCAAAACTTCATATGTGAGGATTCCTGTTTGTTTATCAGAATGTGCTTGTCTATTTTAAACTAATTCTTCCCTGAGATGTAATTTTGCTACAAACAACTCTGTGATGGTTGGCAAAAATAAGTAAAAGAAAAAAAAATAACAAACTTGCTTTTATTATCAAGCAATTTAATCATCTGACCTTGTTTTTTTCCTCAAGTTGTTTTGGTATCTCGGTGAACACATAGTAATGACTCCTTACCTTAAGTGAACCCAAGTGCTCAAACTAGTTACCTTAAGTGCATTCACACTGTCTCAACCTGACCCTGGGCATTTAATTTAAAAAAAATCTTATCAGGGTTTTGAACTTAATGTGTCTGTTTTCACAGATAACACTGTTACTCCAAAGTCAAGAAGCAGATATTTCTGAAACTTCAAATACATTTTTTTAACTTAAATGATCTAATTGTTTGACTCTTGTCAAGCTTCAAATTCTTATATACTTTTAATGGTCCATGAGAATTTTGTTTATAAGGATGTCATTTTATATTACTGCTTAAAGATATTTTCTTTTGGATTGTATTTGAGCATATTTTTCTCCAAATAAAGAAGTCTAAATTGTGTGGTTGAAAAGAAAAATAGATGCTCCATAGACTTTTGTCCCTTCCATACACATAGAGATATACTTGTTTTTGCACGTCTACTTATGTGTATGCTAATATATACACACATATACTTATGTCTATAGGTGGGTTGTATATGTGTGTGTGTGTGTATGTGTATATATATACATGTATATATATGTGTGTGTGTGTGTATATATATATACTTGTTTTTGCATGTCTACTTATGTGTATGCTAATATATACACACACATATACTTATGTCTATAGGTGGGTTGTATATGTGTGTGTGTGTGTATGTGTATATATATATATATGTATATATATGTGTGTGTTTGTATATATATATATCTTCCATCAGAACTATTTTGGCTCAATTGTTTCATGTTTTCTCATTAAACATTGTTCTCAAAGCTTAGGTTTACAAACCGAAGTTTTAAAAGATACATCAATTACAAGCATCTGCCACTAATTAATATATAAGGGGAGGAGTTTCAAAAAGTTCATGGAAAATGTGTATTACGGGTCCAGCGGATGGTGTAGTGGTCATGTCTCTGAACTTCCACATGACTGTTTAAGTCCCAGAGCACAGGAATCAGTCATACTGGGTGCATGTGAATATGTGCTCAAGATCCCAGGAGGAGAATGAAGAAGGGATTACAGCATGGCCATCCCCACTGGGGGGTGAGTTCTCACTTTCCCTCTTATTGTCTCTGTCTCTGCCTGTGTGCGGCAAGCACATGCACCCTATGGCAAAAACATCTAAAAAAAAAAAAAGAACAGAACAGAAAATGTATATTATGAAAAAAAATATGCATAGATTTCCAAATTGTTTTGTACTGAAATAAATTTGTATTTTGATTTTATTTTTCCATGAATGCTTTGATGCCCCCTTAGATAAATATTGCAGTAGGGGTTGGACTAAGAAAGATCGTGAATAAGGCAAAGTTTATCTCTGATCCCTTCTTGATACTTGTATCCGTCCCTCAGCTCCCAGCACCTAGAACTGCCTTTACTACCACTTGGGGACTGAATCAGCACCGCCTCCCAACCCATCACCCCAGTGCTCTTCTTCATTTTGGGTGCATCACAGGGCTCTGTTTGTCATTAAGGGATCCGTTGGGTTGTCAGAAAAGTCATAACACACTTGGCGTGGTCAAACAGAAAAAATACATCATGACCTTTTTGACAACCCAGTACTTACGGACCATGCTTATGAATTGAAGTCACTAATGACTCTGGGTACAGATAATGAGAATTTGTGAGTACAAGGTGGTGATTCTTCCTCAAAGGCACACGTGTGTGTGTGTGTGTGTGTGTGTGTGTGTGTATGTGTAGTGATTCCCTAAAGAAAGTATTGAAAAGCATTAGTTAAAAGTAAGGAGAGGGCCCATATTACTCAAGTTCAGGAGTCTTCTAGTTGGGGATACATTAAAGGGACAAAATTGCAGAAAGAACCATTTTAATCTGAAGCCCAAGGCTAAGACTGAGAAATTGTCCTTGGAAGGACTTGATGGAGACATACTCTCACTGATCTTGGAGTTGGAACAAAGAGGTTCTACAAAACTAAAAACTAAACTAAACTAAACAACTAAACTAAACTAAAACAAGCTTATCTAAATTAGACTCCATTGTGCAGTAATAGTTTGTCTATCTGCATAATTTATTCTAAGATTGTTCACAACTTAGCAAATTAAGTCGTCTCAGGAGAGAGATATTGCAGAGGATTCTGGTTTAAGAAAATGACTTTAGGGAACCAGCAGTTAGCATAATGGTTATGTCGCTGGACTCCCATGTAGTCGACCGCGGTTCACATCCCGGACCCGGTGGCTTAAAACTCAGGCTGGGTGCATGTGCGTGCGTGCCCAAGATCCCGAGAGGAGAATGGAGGAGAAGGGATTGAGGCGTGACCATCCCTCCAGGGGGGGAGATTTCTCGCTTTCTGTCTCTCTGTCTCTCTCTGTCTGTCTGGCAAGCACATGCGCCCTATAGCAAAAAAACCTCCAAAAAAAAAAAAAAAAGAAAAAAAGAAAAGAAAATGACTTTAGAGGTAGCTTTTTCCTCTTTAGTGACTCATCTTTAGAAGCTTCTTACTCATATAACCAACTCTTCTTACTATTAAGCCTTGGTGTAGGTTCTTTGCCTTTTGATATAGCAATATTAGTCTTTTCTTCTCACTGAATCAAAGGTAAAAGTATTCTGTGGAGTTCTTATGCGCTAGGGAGACCAAAGGTGCTTGTTACAGTGTGTATATGTGGGGTCTTTAGAATGTTCATATAAAGAAAATGTGTTATCAGGAAAAACTGTGAATGGATTAAAAACTTTTTGCTCCAAATACCATTTCCCGTGGACCTTCTGAAATCTCCTGTGATATGTACCCAAATAAGTGCAGAATACCGGTATACTAAAGAATACATTTCACTTTCTAGAGTGGAAAGAAATATATTGGTCCTTGTGGAGGAAGAGACTGCTCTGTTTGCCACTGCCTTCCTGAAAAGGGGTCTCGGGTAAGTGATGTGAAAGTTAACATGGACAGCAACCGTGAATTTTAAATCACTGTGGATACTGAACATTAAGTTGTCCCAGGTTCTTTACGGTAGTTTTGTTAGTTGATAATGCTTACATTTTTTTATAATCAACCTTTACATTCAGATAAGTAACCTCTGTTATAGTAGACCGAGTGTCAGGCTTAGAAGATACCATTGTCTGGGAAGCAGTGATCGGCGTGGTGTTTTATCCAACACTAGTCTTATGAATTGGCTCACAGAGAAAGGGCCCTGGTGTCTAATGATGCCTACTGAGTGCCACCTGGATAGTCATGTTGCAAATCAGTGTTTTAAAGGCTCTGAGAAAGGGTCAGCCTGGTGTCTTGGTAGGTACAGGAACTGGGTCCTACATGGCTAAATCCCAGCCTTGGTGGCTTGAAAATCACTCCAAGCACATGTTTGTACTTGCCCCAAATTCTTCCAGGTTGGGAAAATGGAGGTGAAGGGATTGTGGCATGACTACACGCTTTCTTTCTCTCTTTCTCGTTCTCTGTCAAGTGCATATACTCTCTGGCAATTAAAAGAAAAAGATCAAAGATCAAAGATAAGGGCTCTGAGAAATACTGCAATGAGTTTATGTAGAGGAACCTGTTTAACTTGGGTTAATCAGTCTTTCCAGACATGAGACTCCTTTGGGACAGCGCATATTGAAACCTATGGAGCAGTGTTCTATAACTGAAGCGGCAGGCAGGTGTATTGTATGCTTGTGATGTGCCAGATACTGTTCTATGTGCTCAAAATGCTTTAGCTCATCAATCTCACACAACCCCGTTCTGATTGAACCGACTTTGCAGTGCAGGAGACAGAAGCACGGATCATCTTAGTGTCTTGTTCAACTCAGAACTCACTTCTGACTTCCTTACAGTCTCCATTTTGCAGAGCCCAGAGCCTTCTGTTGCCTGTCATGTCCCTTGAACATTTATTAATATGAACATCTCTCCTGTGTTCTGGCAGCAGCACTTAGATGCTCATGAAGTCATTGGTACTAAAGTATTAGATCAAACAATTCTTTGATTAAAAATATTTCCACAATATTCCAAGAAAGGAATGTGTTTCAGAAGCTTTGGACAATTTTTGAGACAGATCAATGATTCTTTTGAAATGTATTTTAATCCATTTAGGCTGCTATAAGAGAGTACCAGGAACTGAGTAGCTCACACAATAGAAATTTATTACTCACAGTTCTGGAGGCTGGGAAGTCCAAAAACCTGAGTCTGGTGATGGCCCATACCTGGTTTGCAGGTAGCTGTCTTCTTGTGTCCTCACACAGTGGAGAGAAAAAGCTTCCAGGGCTTTCTATGACGTTAATTCCATTAATTTAGGAGGGGAGAATTCACTCTGATGACCAAATTACCTCAAAGACTCCATTTCCAAATTCTATCATATGGGGGTTAGAATTTCAGCATGTGAATTTGTAAGTGGCACAAGCATTCAATCCCACACAGTGTCCAGATCAACATTCAGGGCTGACTATCATCACTTAAAAAGCCCAGTTCAGTAAAGATTACTCTACCAAGACATGAAACGTGACTTCCCCAAAGTGGGACTCATTATTTCTCCCCCTGCACTGCTTCACCTTCACACAGCAGGTGTGCAATACATATGAGTTTCTCTGCAGAGCCCTTTAACTCTAAGCAGTCTATTATTGAGCATCAATTATGGCAATTTTGTGTCTTCTTCAATACATCAAAAATTTTGGAGGTCTGAATTTATCTTGAAACAGTGAGACCCTGACATCTGACAGAAAGCAGATGAATATTGGAACCAACTGTTGGTGTAATGGCTATGTCACTGGACTCCTATGTAATTGACTGTGGTTTGAATCCCGTACCCATGGCTTAAACTCACGCTGGTGCCACACATGCATGCCCAAGATCCAGAGAGGAGAATGGAGGAGAAGGGATTGCGATGTGGCCATCCCCCCCTGGGGGGGGTGATATCTCGCTTTCTATCTCTCTGTCTCTCTCTTTCTGTTGAGCACACATGCCCTATAGCAAAAAGTTCTCCAAAAAAAACAAAGAAAGAAAGAAAGAAAGAAAGAAAGAAAGAAAGAGAGAAAGAAAGAAAGAAAGAAAGAAAGAAAGAAAGAAAGAAAGAAAGAAAGAAAGAGAAAAAGAAAAAGAAAAGAAGGAAGTGGACAAGTATGGAAGATTTAATGCTAAGTGAAGTAAGCCAGACTATGGAAGACAGGCATTATATGTCCCTGCTTAATGTAGGTATAATACATAGCAGGGTGGCCAACTGTAGATACTAGAGACAGTATAGAAGGAGGTGGGTAATCAAGGATGGGAATAGCAGGTGGGAGTGAGAGGAATCAAGGGGAAAAAACAAACAATACACAAAAAAATGAAACGTTATTTCTTGATGATCATATGTATGTGTATCTTTGACTTCACCAACATTGATCATGTTCTTGCTGATGAACCTCATGTTGTATACTATAAAAATATACAGTGATTAAATGTAAATTAAAAAATTGTCTTGGGACCAGCAGTTAGCATAATGGCTATGTCGCTGGACTCCCATGTAGTCGACTGCAGTTCGCGTCCCAGACCCGGTGACTTAAAACTCACACCGGGCTCGTGTGTGTGTGCCCAAGATCCTGAGAGGAGAATGGAGGAGAAGGGATTGCAGCGTGGCCACCCCCCCGGGGGGTGATTTCTCACTTTCTATCTCTTTGTCTCTCTCTGTCTATATGGTGAACACGTTACAGCAAAAAAACCTCTCCAAAAAAAAAATTGTCTTAATATAAAACCAAAAATAAAAAAGTAATTCATCTTGAGCTTTTTCAAGCCGCTTTTCACAATAAAGCTCACAAATGAAGCTGCAAAGAGAACATCACACTACAGACTGACAGCCTAAGAAGTGCTGTAGCTTTTCCACGCAAATGTACAAATTATTCAGAAAACAAAGCAAAAATCCTGGCTTTTGTGTGAGTTATTGATACACATATACCAAGATTGTACAAATAGAAAAAGGAAAGAAAACAAACCCAGTGCATTTGAATTTTAAAATCTTTGGGCTTGAGCCACCCTAAAAATGGATGTGGTCACCTCTGTGACTTATGGGATGCGGGAGGAGACCACAGAGCAGAGAGGAGCAGTTGTTTTGGTAGACAGCACCTTCGTGGGTCCTCTGGCTTCAACCTGGCCGCGTAGTTTTAGCGGCCGCGCTGTGAGCCATTATGAACCTTGGTCCCTTCACTTCAGAAGTTCTCGGCTGGGAGTAACTTTGCCTCCTCACCAGGGACATGTCACAATGTCCAGAGACATTTTTTTGGTTGTCATAATTGAGTGGAAGGGGGTTGCCACTGACGTGTGGTGGGTAGAGGCCACATGTGCTGCTCAGCACCTTACACCGCACAGGACAGCCCCCACAGCAGAGAACTAGCCACCCCCGAATGCCAACAGCATCGAGGCTGAGCAGCCCCGCCCACAGCTCTGGGAGGCAGGCTTTCTTATTCTTTCCAGCTGTCAGTCCAAGAAACCTGGACTCCCAAGAGTTGGCACTAACTTGCTAGTATGTGGGAGAGCCAGGAATCCTACCCAGGTGCCTGATTTCACCCCTGATATTTGCCCCATGCCTGTGGAAAGATGCCTACACTATGGTTCCAGTTTCAGGTTTTAGCATAACTGTGGCCTTGGTGTGTGTGTGTGGGGGGGGGCACTTTAATCTGACCAAGCCTCGGTGTCCTCATATTTACCCATTACTCCATCTTTCTGTTTCTTGGGGCTGTGAGACAATCATGAATTTGCACGTGCAGAGGGTGCACTTTGCAGCCCCATAGTCTATGGGCAGGCGAGGGCTCTCGGTGCTGAGCTAAGCTTTGCTGTTGTGTTCCTGTGTCTGTGTCGTCCAAGAGATCCGTGTGTGCAACACCAAGAGATCTGTGTGTGCAACACCAAGAGATCCGTGTGTGCAACACCAGGGAACTGCTTCCCTTCCTGAGACGGCGCCCCAGGTGAAGGCTACAAGTTGCTGGTGACTTTTCCCAGCTGAGAATTCGGGAACAAGGCCTGTACATAACTGGGATTTGGTGTGGAGGCAGGGCACTCTCCCCTCCTCAGCAGCCAGCCAGCGTCCTGAACTGCAGTGAATGTACCCAATTCTAGAAGCTTCAGGGAGCTGCCCAAGGCCACGCATACTAGTGGCCCAGCTAGGCTTTCCTGAGAAGGAAAGGATGCCTCTCTGTGGGTTAATGCCTGAGTGGGTAGCATGTTCAATAGTGTATGGCTAACACAGCTGTTGTCAAGCCAGGCTGGCCTTGGGCCATGGCACAGCTGTGTTTAGCCCTCCACCTGGAGGTGAGCTAGAGTTTGGGGTGGGGGAACGTCTACATCATGGAATGAACAGTGGGCTCTTCCTATGACTTTCAGGATAAAATTCAGCCTCACTGTGTACTGTTGGAGGCCTCTGCCTGGCCCCACCTTGGTTTTTCATCTGTAATAGAATATCTATAATCACTGCCCTGGGGCCCTCCTGCCTCTCAGTTGGGCCTCTCATTCTCTCGAAGATTATCTACCCCTATTTGTCTCCTTTTTTAAAGTTTGTATAGAGATATTTGCTATAGGGTGCTTGTGCTCATCAAAGAGACAGAGAGACAGAAAGTGAGAAATCATCCTTCCCCCCAAGAGAGGATGGCCAAACAGCAATCCCTTCTCTTCCATTCTCCTCTCAGGATTTTGGGCATGCATGCATACGTGCCCAGTCTGAGTTTGAAGCTACCAGGTCTGGGACTCAAACCGCAGTCAACTATGTAGGAATTCAGTGACATAATCATTATGCCATCTGCTGATCCGTGTATCCACTTTTCTGAAAGCCATCCCTCTATCACTCTGACACCACCTTCTCTGCTCTTCCCTAAGGATCTCAGTGGAGACACCTCCCCACAAGCTTCACCTCCCCCTGCCCTATCCCAACCAGCCCTGACATCTCCATGTGGGACCCCCAGGCATCAGACT